GCCAAAACATACCTGCTGGCATCTTAGTGGATTGCTATTTCAAGCCAAGGCTACAAAACTATTTTGGGAGGTTTTATGTGTTTGTTCAAAGCTAAAATGGCCTTTCAGTTCAGTTGAAACAAATGGACAAAAGAAAGAAAGAGACACAGTGAAACAAAAGCACACAGTGACCCGGTCCAGCCATCAGTTTGATCTAGTAGAGTTATTTCCTCATCACAAGAAACGATACGATTATGTTGGCAAAAACAACAATTCTTCCGCTTTGTAGCCTCAAAGAGATTTGGAAAATCAGATTGAGAAGCACATTTATTTCCAAGATAACTTTGATCTTTCTTCCTCTCTTAGCATTACTTTTCAACTTGCTGAGTGTGCATGTTCTCCAGTAATATCCTGCTTCACTGCCTTCAACGCCTTTTATAGGCTCCTGCCCCGCGGTATAGACACTCTGCAATCGGTAATAATTTCTGTATCATCTCAGTGATATGGACGCTGCTAACAGGCTGCTTCACAGGAAGCACAATAATGTAATGGGCTGATAATTCAGAGCTATGTGTGGCTGTGTAGACTCTGTATGTAATCATGGACTGGGAGCATTGCTCTCAGTGTGGTTACTATAATGTGCTGTGGTGGTGTGCATTGAGGAAAGCCCACAGCCCACTGATGTAGTGCAAAGCCATTAGCTGTTTGTTTCTGTGTATGTGAGTGCATGTTGAGTTAGTAAGTGTCTATTTAAAAAAACAAACAAAAAACTTTTGAATTAAGGACTTTTGCTCCTGTTATTATAGTTTGTTAGTTTGGCCAGTAATCTCAAATCTTCCAGTCACATTTTCCTGTGTTTGACATAGAGATTGTCATAATGTTTTCTTTTCTGTTGGCGCTCCAGTTGAAGATTGCAAGTAAATCTCAGTCACAAAGGCAGGTTTACATGAAAGAGGCATAGAGTTTAAGTTCTGCTTTTGTTTGTCTTATTCAAAATCGAACGGAAGTTGGATGAATTTAGGTTTTAGTGTCTGTAGTGGAAATAATACCATTTTAAAACATCTCCTTGGGCTTTCGGGAATTGTGATGCATTTTTCTTTATATTTTTCCCTCCATTTTAACAGATTAAGCAATTAATCAAGAAGATAATCGTCAGATTAACTGAAAAATAATTGAAAAAATGTATCCTTTGTTACAGTGCTAAACTGAGTTTTCAAGGCAACATAAGGCAATTTATAGTATTGTGACACACTAACAGAATACAGTTGAAATGGTATAAAAATATCAAATCTGGCAAGGAGAAATATAAATTTTTACGTTTAGGTTTTTGGATAAAGTGTATAGAGAGTGCCTGAGTGGGATTAGGAGTTACTGGGAGACTAATACAGAGTATCTGTGTGATCCATACAAATCTGATTTGGAAGACAGTTACAGTTCTGTTTCACTCAGATCACAAATACAAATACTAAAAAACACACACACAGCTTCCTCGATAGATCCTTGGATTTGGGAACGGCCTCTTGGCTCCCTCCCTCTCTCATTGTGCCAGATCAGCGGGGCCTTGAGATGAATCATTAATGACCGGTTCCAACGGCTTAATGGCCTCTAATGTTCTGTAATGATCTCCCGTCAACGCCATGTGCGCGGCCTTAATGGATCCAATGCCGTGGAGAATTCTCTGGTTTGAACTTCGGTAATTCCTCCTCTTTTGGTCGAGCAGCGGACAACAGGAAGTGCGAAAGGGCCATGAGCACACGGCTCCGGAGCTCCACGGGCGCAGCATGAGTTTCCCTCTCCGCCGATCGACCTCAGGTAGGACCGGTGGGCAACGGGCCGAAATAATTAGATTCGATCCGGCCCTAAAGTAGGCCTAATTATGTTACAAAGCCCTTAAAGGTAAGTGTACGAATATTAGCACAAATCTGTGTATAATGAGCTTTAGAAATAGGCTGTAATAGGGGGGGAAGGACAGGCTAACTCGCAGTAATAAGCTTTTAAAGTTTCTAAACGGACTTTTATAAAATAGACGACTGCTTTGGTCCTTTTGTTGGTGTTGCAAAGAGGGCTAGAGTTAGTTTTCGACCCTTAAAATGTTCCCAAAGTATTCATTTTCGATTTTTGTGTTTGAAATAATTGAATCATGTTGGTACAAACTGAGTAAAACGTGTGTTTATAACTCAATTAAAACTTAAAGCGCTGTCCGTGGTTCTGAAAACGGCGCCGGGCGCGCCCTTCTGCTGTGTGTGTGTGTGTGTGTGTGACAGCTCGACTCCCAACTAATTATTACACACATGTTAAACTTTTACACACTCACACGTTCACATTGAATGACCTTTGTAATATAGGCTCTGAATAATCCTCTGTTGTGTTGCAGCCTTGAGAATAAATCCATCAAAATGTCAGGAACTGGAATCCTGAACTTGTATCGGTGTCCTCCACGCTCAGGGCAGATTTCACAACTCTTACATACTTTTAAAAACATCAAATAACTTAACAGAACACAGTTTTCATATTGGAGACGATGAATTAATTGTTTAATTGGCTCGACATGAGTTAACACCAACGCCCTCTGAACCAAAAGTCTCAGGCCTTTGCACTCGGACTAATCCCTTTACTGTCAAAACCCCATGTCGGATTATGTCTGCGGGGCGGTTTCTGACACTCTACCAAAATAAGATGAACCAAAATAACTTTCTGCCTTAACCAAAATGTCCCAAGATGTTTGTCAATTTCACGGTTCTTTAACGGATGTATCACACTGTCGACCGCTGCCTGTGTTGGTCTACCGTCGCCTCAGCGGTTGGTTGCAGAGTGTTATGAATGCTGCTGGGTTTCTATTGTGAGAGGCTGATTATACTCTAACTGGCATTCATGGTTAGACTGAGAATCACTCGCATAAGGGCTCTGTTGGTATTTTCTGCAAATATGCTGTTGTTTTCTCTTCTTTTGTCAAAGTCCCGCTGCCTATAGGGGGCGCTACGTGTCTCCAGCCAAAACCTTACAGAAGTGCACATGTTTTTAAGCTTAAAATAGATGCAACAGCTTAAATTGATCTTTTTATTTGACTCTAGGTGCAACAACCTCTCCCATTGGGGCTCATTTTATGTTTCTGTTTATAAACTTTAATTTGTTTATTCAGTAATTAATCAATCATCCTGCTTTTTTTATCTCCCCCCCCCATCCTTTCCCCATTTGTTTAATGGTCTTTCTATTGATTCACTAATTGATTTACTTGTTTTCTGTAACATTTTAATTTGGTATTGTACTGATTTAAGGTAAAGGGTGAGGATCGGTGTTTGCATCTGGTTTGTTTTTTCCTGCAGCTCGTATAACGTTACATCACATTTTGTTACCCTCTTGTTTGTGTGGCTTTTGCTTTTAGGGGCACGTGGTATGAGCTTAAAAGCATGGACCTCATAAATGAAAGATGAAGTACTAGACTAGCTTTCAGTCATTTCATTACAGTGGTCGCACGTGTTTGCTTTTAGATATCGATGTTTGAGATGACATCTCAGATTGAATATGAAATCTTTTTGTGGTGTTGTCTCTCTCAGGGAATGTGCAGCATGTGGGCTGAGCTACACAGTAACACCTAAACTATATTATATCTGTACATTTACAAGGGTCTTACCTAACCAGAAGGCCATAGGTGTCACTCCTTCAGTAAAGAACACGCTAAAAGGCTCCACTTCGGTGACCAGGTCCTGACCCCATGCTGTCCACAGTCCATCACCTTCTCCTCCACCCATTGGCTTATTCTCACAGTGGGCTGCAGCTTACTGAGTTTGCCTCCTCCTCTGTCATGTAATTTACGGCTCACCACAACATCTCGCTCTCCCAGCCCATCGATTTTCACTACCTTTTCCACCGGTGAACAGCATGCACTAGGCTCTGCCTGCCGCTCGGCGCCAGGTGCCACAGGTCACCCTCCGCTGTGAGTCAGTCTGCTCTTTGTCCACTGCCTCATCTTCCTCAAGACTGGTTGGAGTTGCAGTTGCCATGCGCCATTGCAGCTGTATCTGGCGCTGACAGCTTGTGCATAAGTCTCCCTGTGGGGGCTGCCTGTGGCCAGCCGACATGCATGAATTGGCTGATTGCCGCTGTATGTGTTGCCTCAGCAAAGGGAACATCTTAGGAAGTGACACATCTCATCCAGACTGAAGTGCTGTCTCCTGTGCTGTTATTCACCTCCTTCCTGCACGCCGCAGCCTTTCAGCAGTGGTGAACCTCTGCACCAAAAAAAGATGAGAGCCCCTCCTTTCTCCCTCCCTCTCTCTCTCTTTACTCTCTCTC